CCATCTTCCACTGCTTTCCCAGGAGCATTAGCAGGGAGTTGGATTGGAAGTGGAACAGCTGGGACTTGAACCAGCGCCCATATGGGACGCCGGTGTTACAGGATGTGGCTTAACCTGCTGCATCATATTGCCAGCCCCAAGCTGACTAATTTTCGTACCTACCACCTACCTCCTTCAGTGAGCCACTACGTGAGTCCCTTACTGTGACACACAACCTCCACTTTGCTTTCAATCATCTCTGTAGTTTAGGGAACAATGACAAGGGAATATTTGGGAAACAGAATTGCATCTGTACTGAACATGAACAGACCCATTGTTCCTTGTTATCACTTCCTAAATAGACAGGATAACAACTATGTACAGGATTTCCATTAGTTTGTATTGTCAGGAATCTAGAGATGACTGAAAGCATAGTGGAGTTTGTGCATAGGTTACATGCAAATGCTATGCCATGTATGACAGGAACTTGAGCAGCTGTTCACTTTGGTATCTATGGGAGCTCCTTGAACCAATCACCCCTGATTACTGAGGGATGACTGTGCAGTGTGAATCCATTTTATTTTTAAAAACACTTTCTGTATGTATTTATTTACATATTTATATGTATTTATTTGAAAGGGAGAGACAGACAGACAGGCACAGGGAGATCGCTCATCTGCTGGTTTACTTCTCAAATTCATGCAACAGCAGAGGCTGGGCCAGGCTGAAGCCAGCAGCCTGAACCTCATTCTGGATTGCCATGTGGGTGCAGGTGTTAGGTGTTAGGATTTTAGAGTTCAAAGGAGGAGAGGGGGTGGCTAGTTAAAGTGAGACTTTATTTTAGGGTAAAGAGCAGGATAGGGGGCCGGCGCTGTGGTGCAGCGGGTTAAAGCCCTGGCCCGAAGCACCGGCATTCCATATGGGCGCCGGTTCGAGACCCGGGTGCTTCACGTCTTGTCCAGCTCTCTGCTATGGTCTCAGAAAGTAGTAGAAGATGGCCCATAGTCCTTGGGCCCCTGCACTCACGTGGGAGACCCAGAAGAAGCTCCTGGCTCCTGGCTTCTGATCGGCGCAGCTCCAGCCGTTGTGGCCATCTGTGGAGTGAACCAGCGGACGGGAGACCTCTCTCTCTCTACCTCTCTCTGTAACTCTTTCAAATAAAAAAAAAAAAAAAAAGTGTGGGATGGAGCATGCCCTGACAGGACAGTGGGGTGGAAACCAGGCTTCATTCTGTTGGAGCAGCAGGCAGAGCCTGCTTGTTGGGGCACGTGCAGAGCGCCACGTGGACCCTGACCTGCTGGGTGGGAGATGTGCAGAAAGGCTCCTTGGTGTAGTTTTCAGCGTGCTGTCTTAGCGGGTTGCCATGTCCCAGGTGCAGGGCCTTGCAGAGCAATAAACATTCTACTAGCCTTTCCCTCTCCATCTGCGCCCATGGGGAAGAGAGTGGCAGACGGAGCAGGGGCCAGGAAGAGAGGGGAGGGGCTGTGGCAGCTGCCGCTGAGGGGAGGAGGGGGAAGAGCCAGACAGGGGGGCAGGGCGAGTAGAGAGAGGCAGCATCACTGAGGGCAGAGGAAGAGCGGAAGAAGGCAAAGTTGAGGGTTCGAGAGGAGGCTCCAGCTTCTCTCCTGACTGAGGAAGACTTGGAACGTGGAGAGTCAAACCTTGGAGTTTGCAAAGGCTGCGACCACTGGCTGCTTCTCTGCTTAATTGTCCAATTCATATTGAGGGCAAGTTTCGGTGCAGAAGAAAATTAATTGCTTTGGCCTCATCTTCCCCTTTAGGCCCAAGTTTTTAAAGAGGCCAGAGGGGAGTCCGGGGAAAATGTGAGAAATTCCAGAACCCATGGATTAGGCAAAATATAGCCTGTTGGCAGGGCAGTCGCTCACAAGGCATGCCTCAAGAGCGAACCTAAATTCTGGGTCCTCTGAGAGGACAGAGAGAGGGTCCCCGTGCTTAGGCCAGCATCCCAGTGCTAAGCCGTGGCACATGAGCGTTTCCGCACCTTCTGGAGGTCAAGGATGGAGGAAACTAACCGAACACCCCAGGCCCTACGAGGGGAGGCAAGTCAGCCACCAGCATCAGCCCTGGTGTGCTTGGGGGGACAGAGGCCTCTCTCACCAATCCGACGGGCTGAGAATCAGGTCTGCTGTTGCATGCAGTGGGCTCTGGGCGTGAATTTGCCCGGAGACAAGGAAGTGCAAGTGGGGGGTGAGTAGATGAGTGACTTGGGCAGTTTGTCACAGGAAGAAGAAAGTTCAGAGGAATTGGGGTGCAAGGCGATGTCACGGCTCTTACCCAGAGGATGAAGGGGCAGCCAGTTTCTGGGGACCACAGCAGGCAAGAGGCCAGTCCCATACCCTGCCCTGTACGGGCCATCAAATGTAAGGGAAGACAGGCAGGAGAGAGAGGAGACAGGATATAAACTCACAGCCAAAACGAATTTATTCAAGGGGAAATAAGTTCCCAGAGGTGGCTAACTGCCAGTGTGCACACGGGGCGAGCACGTGGCGAGAACGTAGTTAGGGGCTGGGTTCATATAGCATAAGCCAGGTAAGGGCCATGCTGGGAGGTGGGGCACGGAGCACGGATTTTTCAAATGCCATGGGCCTTCCTCTCTGCAGGCTGATTAGATGGAAAAGAATGCAGGGGCTGGTGCTGTGGCATAGCGGCTAAAGCTGCCACCTACAGTGCTGGCATCCCACATGGGCACCGGTTTGAGCCCCGGCTGCTCCACTTCCGATCCAGCTCTCTGCTGTGGCCTGGGAAAGCAGTAGAGGGTGGCCCAAGTGCTTGGGTCCCTGCACCCAGGTGGGAGACCTGGAAGAAGCTCCTGGCTCCTGGCTTTGGATCAGTGCAGCTCTGGCCGTTGCAGCCAACTGAGGAGTGAACCAGCAGATGGAAGACCTCTCTCTCTCTGCCTCTCCTCTCTGTGTGTAACTCTGACTTTCAAATAAATAAATAAATCTTTTAAAAATATTTGTTTATAAAAAATGCAGAGGGTGGGATGGAGAAGAATACAGGGCGTGGGACCCAGCCAGCCTAAGAGTGCCAGGGGCTAGGGAGTCCCCTGGGTGACTGGATCTGCTCTCAGACAAGGAGACAAAATGGCTCTATAGCCTATATCCTTGCTCCATCAGCAGGGACCCAAGGACTAGAGGTATCACCCACTGCCTCCCAGGCAGGGTATGCATTAGCAGCAAGTTGGAATTGGAAGTGGACCTGAAACTTGAACCCACATATTCCAATATGGAATGTGGGTGACGCAAGCAGTCTGATCCGCTGCACCAAATGTTCTCCCTATATTTCAGATTTAAACATTTATAAATGCATTTGTTTGTATGTTTTTTCAAAAAACCATAAAAAATTGCAGGAAACAGCCACAAACTGTTAACAGTAATTACATCAGGGAGGTTTCCTGTAACTACTGAAGAAGAGAGGCAAAGGCCGTTGCTTTCATTCTGGGCATCTCAGTGTGGATTGAATATTTATGAGGAGCATTTATTTCTCATGTAGGAACACAAAATGGGGTTGATGCTGAGGCGTAGTGGGGGGTAAAGCCGCTGCCTGCAGCGTCGGCATCTCATATGGGTGCTGGTTTGAGTCCCAGCTGCTCAACTTCAGATCCAGCTCTCTGCCACGGCCTGGAAAAGCAGTAGAAGATGGGCCAAGTGCGTGGGCCCCTGCACCCACGTGGGAGACCGGTGAAACTCCTGGGTCCTGGCTTTGGATCAGCTCAGCTCTGCCCGTAGCAGCTATTTGGGGAATGAACCAGTGGATGGGAGATCAATCTCTCTCTGTCTCTCCCTCTCTGTCTGTAACTCTGCCTTTCAAATAAAATAAATAAATAGAAAAGAACACAAAATATACACTTATGTTCTTTTTTCATTTTGCTTCATTTTCCACTCTCTTCCCACTTCTTTCATCACAATCTGAGTTGTGCGCACCCGGAACTTCTTGGATTCTGCCTTGCAACTCAGTCATTGCCCCAGCGTCTCCTCTAGGTGGCAGCTTTCCCCACATCGCTTCATAGCCTGTGTGCCTCCTACGAATCTGTCGAAGTTTCTTCTGCTAAATGCTCCTCTCTTTATCACCGACATTGTAGGGTTAGTGCTTTTCAATTACTTGGATTACTTTTAATGTGATCACCAGGAGGGAAAGAAGTCTGGAGATCTTTCCAAGCAGGAAGTCCTTGGATAAGAGCGTCTTATCATACCTGTGAGTGCAGTTGGTGGCAGGCAAACAGGGTGGAGCGGAACAGGCCCAGCCCTTGAGAAAGCCTCCCCCACTGAGATGGGTCAGACCCTGGGAAGATCATGAGCCTTCACTCATAAGGGCTCCAAGGAGATTCAGGCTAGCAAATTGAATGTTTGGAAACAACCTGCCTGGAAAACAGATGGGCAGGCCATTGGCTGGGAGGAGAGAGGGCTTCCAATGCACATGGCATCCCATTAGACAGAGGAGAAGAACGGGGAGCAGGACTCGGGTGCTCCAGCACAGGCGGTCTCAGGGGGTTCAGTCTGGGGTCAGGCAGTCAGTCTGAGAGGAGTCTGCTCCAGTTCAAGGGCACGGCACTCTGTAGTCACCAAATGCTAATGCAGCACCTTCCCTGGGCCATGGCAGAAAGGCAGAAGCAGGCCAGGGCTCAGGGCGGGGATGGTCTGGATGCAGCCTGGGGCAGTGGCCTGTATCGCAAGATACTCAACGTGAGTGGTGGAGCGTGGCTCAGAGAACACAGACAGGACCCCGCAGGCCAGTAGTCAGGCTGCAGGAGTGCGGACTTCAGTCACGTGACCTCTAGCCAGTTACTTTGCCTCTCTGTCCCCACTGCCTTGCTTCAAACATGAAAATAATAAAGGCCAGCAGCTCCCAGGTTGTCAGGTGCTACGTGAAACAACACTGTCCTGGGCAAGCACTCAGTGGTGTCACAGGGAGTGCACTCAGTGGTGTCACAGGGAGTGCACTCAGTGGTGTCACAGGGAGCGCACTCAGTGGTGTCACAGGGAGCTCATTCAGTGGTGTCACAGGGAGCGCACTCATCTGCACCGTGGCCCTGGGCTGCTGGGAAGTGACCAGCTCTCCTGCTGGCTTCAGAAATTAGCTCTGGAGACCTGGACAGCTCCCACCGCACAGGACTCCACGGAGCCTGAAGGCAATCTGAAGAGCCGATTTACGAGCCTGCAAAGCTGGGGGAAGGAAGGAACCTGAAGATCTTGAAGTTTATCGGTTCAGCTGCCCGTCTGTGTGGGGTGAGAGGGAAATAAGACTCTCCACAGTTCCCAGCCTCTCTGGCAGTGGCTTGTTCCAGTGCAGGGCTGAGAGAGGATTGGGGATGTGCTTTGTCAATTGCAGGGCTGTAAACAGTAGGCCACCTTTATCTGGGCCCTGGGATCTCAGGGTTTCAAGCACTGGTAGATAAACACCCAGCAGCCAGGTAGGATTTTTCTGTATTTCCTACGTGGGTAGTTGGAGGCTCAGGAAACAGGCAAAAATTGAACCAATGATCTAATCTAGGTCAGGTGCTCTAGATTCCAGAAAGGGGGTCACAGATGTGTAAACAGTGATTCTGATCAGGAAACCTGGACGTGGGTCCTGGACGTGGAATTTTTTTTTTTTAAAAAGGTTTATTGATATGAAATGCAGAGGAAGAGGCAGGGGGAGGCATCTAGATGTGAGCTTACTCTCTGAATGGCTACAACAGCCAAGGCTGGGCCAGGCCAAATCCAGGAGCTGGGAACTCCATCCTGATCTCCCACTTGGGCGGCAGGGAGCCAAGCATTTGGGCCATCTTCCACTGCCTTCCCAGGGGTATTAGCAGGGAGCTAGACCAGAAGCAGAGAAGCCAGGACTTGAGCCACTACTCTGATATAGGATGTTGGCTTCACAAGGCGTGGTTCAATTTTGCTCCACAACACCAGGCCCTGGGTACTTAATTTTAAGCTAGGCTTTCCAGCGTTGTGTTAAGCACACTTTGAGCAACATGGCAGAGGGGAATCAGAAAGCTCTGCCTTCTATTTGAGGCTGGGGTCCTGACCAAAAGGAACACCTGTAAGGGCTTCATCTAGGGATCAAATCTACAAGTTGGAGCAGGCATTTGGCACAGTGGTTCAGACACTGTGTGGGACGCCTTTGTCCCAGACTGGAGTGCTGGGATTTGAGTCCCAGCTTTCTCCTCATTCAGCTTCTTGCTGATGCAGGCCCTGGGAGGCAGCAGGTGATGGCTCAAGTACTCCAGTCCCTGCCACCCACGTGGGACATTCAGATTGAGTTCCCGGCTCCCTGCATCAGGCCTGTCCTCACCCTGGCTGTTGCTGGGATTTGGAAAATGACTCAGCAGATGGGAGTTCTTTCTGTGTCTCTGCCTTTCAAATAAATTTTAAAAAAATTAAAAATAAATTAATATAAAATGTGTGCCACAAAATTTAGTCTTCTGGGGGAAAGGCGTGATAGACTACAAACGCAAGGGTCTGAGGCTAACACCATTATTATTAATGAAGCAAAACTGACTTTTCCCCAGGGTAAGAGTGGCTATGGGGGAATACAGCAGATGACTCTGCAGTCACTCTGCCCGGCCCCTGAAGCCCAGCTCGGGGTGAGAAGCCTCAGAACGGCAAGGACGGGCTGTGCTTGCCTCTTCCAGGTCCTCGGCTTGCAGCTGTGCAGCTGCAGCCTCTGCCCTGTCCTTTCTCTCATCAGGGCATAGTTCAGTAGATTCAAGGCTCACAACTATCTGGGAAGGATCAATTATTCTTATCGCTAATTCTTAACCCAGGAGTCATTACTCATGCATCCTTCATTACATGTGCAAAGACCCACATTCACAGGTGTCAGGTGGGCGTATCATTTTTTGGGAGGAGGGACACCAGCCAACCTGTTACGCCCCTGCTGCCACCACTATGATCATTGGTTACTTGTGGCATCATTGATGGTCAGCTTTCCCGATGGCACTGCAACCTCAGAAGCAGAAACTGTGTGTGCAGCTTCCGCAGTGCCCAGTGCCTGCTACATACCAGCTACTCAGTCTTTGGTCAGTGAATGAATACGTTTTGTTCCATGAACAGTCTGATGATTCAACAGTCCTACTATTGTTATTAGCTGTTAGTGTAGTTTAATAAAATGCATTACTACTGTACTTCCTGTGGGCTGGGTAGGTTCCTGGGGGCATTTCCACCCCCACTCCCTTTCTGCTGCCTGACGACCACCACCATCCTGGGTCACACGCACACTCTGGGGAAGGACCCGTCCCAGGTTGCTCTGCCCTACTGCCACAGCGCCCTCACCTGGCTGAAGCTGATGTCTGACGACCGAAGAGATGTGCAAGGGCCTGACTCCTTCACAGATGGCATTGCACAAATCCACTGTGATGGGCAGTAAGACTCTGGGAATCCGTGAGTCCAGATGACTTACTCTTAACCTTGCTGAGGATGTTGATTGTTGAATTAGACAGCCATTGCTGTTCAAAAGCATCTTGAGAGGAAGAGAAAGGATACAGATGCTAAATTCCATCTGACTCTTAAAATTTGTTTTTTATTTGAAAGACAAAACAAACCAGAGAGAGAGAGAGAGAGAGAGAGAGAGAGAGCACTCTTCCAGGATGAAACTAGGAGCCAGGAACTCCATCCCGGTTTCCACATGGCTGGCAGGTGCCCAAGCACTTGAGCCACCCTCTTCTTTCTTCCCAGGTGTATTAGCAGGAAGCTGGAGAGGAAGCAGAGCGGCCAGCACTTGATCCAGTGCTCTGATATGGGCTGCTGAGTTGCAGGCCATGGGTTAATCTGCCACAGCTCTGGCCCCTCTACCTGACTCTGACAACTAAATTCACCAATTAGCTCAACACTACAAGATCAAACCAGTTCTCACCCACAACTGAAATCCAGTCATCTACAGCTTCTGCGCTGGTGGCATAAATTTGTCTGTGTACTCAAGCAGTAAAAATCATTGTTTAACTAAAAAATGCACTACTACTATTAGTAATTTTTTCCAAAGATTTATTTTATTATTTTGAAAGGCAGAGTTACAGAGAAAGAAAGAGAGAAGGATTGATATCTTCCATTTTCTGGTTCCTGCCCCAAATGACCACAATGGCTTGGGCTGCGCCAGGCTGAAGGCAGGAGCCAAGAACTCCATCCCAGTCTCCCATGTGGGTAGCAAGGGTTTGAGCCATCTGCTGCTGCTTCCAGGTGCATTAGCAGGGAGCAGGATGGAAAGCAGAGCAGCTGGGACTTGAACCAGCGCTGTGCTATGGCATGCTGGTATTGCAGGGGCAGCTTAGCCCACTACACCACAATGCTGGCTCCTACTACTAATAGTTATTGGGTTTTGTTATTCCTAAAATTACAGAACTATTGTTGTGTTTTTATTACTGTATTTTAAAGATTATACCCCAGAGTGGACATTTGGTATAGTGCTAAAGGTGCTGCTCCAAGAGGCTGGTACCTCCTATCTGAGTGCCCGAGTTCGAGTCCTGGTTTTCCTCCAAATTCTAACTTCCTGCTAATGCCTAGCCTGAGAGGCAGCAGGTGTTGGCTAGGGTACCTGGGTCACTCCCGCTCACTTGGGAGATCCAGACTAAGTTAACCAGTTCCTGGCTTCATCCAGCGTGGCCCAGCCTTTGCTGTTGAGGGCATTTGGGGAGTGAACCAGCAGATATAAGATCTCTCTCTTCTGTCTCTCACACTCTCTCTGTAACTCTTTCAAATAAATAAATATTTAAAAATAAATAAATAAAGACATATACAACACACTGCAAAATAGCATAAGTCTCTCCTCAGTACTATTAGTTTTCAAAATTATCTTCCACGCACACTGTAGAAGCTGGTATTTAAGTCTCACTGTTGTCAAGTCCATTACAACTCCCACACTTCCTCCTCCCCCAGCCCCATCGCATTTGGGATGCTGAGTACAATCCACTGATTAGGGAGGAGCTGCCATGTTGCAACACAGAGCCTTCTCTAGAAGAGAATGGCACATCTCTGGATTTAGGTGAGATCTGCATTTCCAGCTGCAGTCCCTTGCCACTCTCTGACACGCGTGGGGGAGGGAGTGGAGGTGGCAGTGCAGCCCGGTCTGCTGTGCATGAAAGTCCTAGTCTCCCTCCGGGGCGGGGGGACAACGCTCGGCTCTCTGGTCTCCCTCTTTCTCCCCAAAGCACGTCTGACCCATTCGCTGTTAAGGTGCATGGTGGAATGATCTCCTCCCCACCCACTCCAGAACATTAGCCCAGGGGGTCGTGCAGATGCATTGTAGAGGGCAGGGTGCAAATGGGTCTTTGGCTTAGGACTGCTTTGCCATGAAGGCTTGTGTCTCTTCCAAAATCCACAATGAAACTTCATCCTCAAAGCTACAGCAGGTTCGGATGAACACCGTGCAGGGAACCACCGATTTCAAGCCTCACTGGCGGGGTTAGTGCCTTCCAAAGGGCTTGGGGGTGGGGTGAGCTTGCCCCTCCACTGTATGAGGACGTGGTGAGAATGTGTCGTCTGTGGAGAACGGGCGTGCACCAGCCCCTGAATCCACTGGACTTCCCAGCCTTCACGGCCATGAGAAATAACTTATGATTGTTTATCAGGGGCTCCGTGTGAGGTTTCTGTTATAGCACAGGAATGGTCCGCGGCAGGACCCATGTGCACTCTTCCCACTCTTGCTCAATTTGCTTTCGTTAGTGTTTTATTCAGAATTTATGCATCGAGCTTGTGGGTGTGCACATAGGAAGAGATTTGTCAGGTGTTGGTATCAGGATTGCGGTGACCTCCAGAAATGAACTGGAAAGCTCTCCTCTCTCTGTGTGTGGCAGCGTCGTAAGGCAGGGACTACTGGCCATAGCACTGTGCTGGCCTCTGCGTGTGCAAAAACAGCTCAGCAAAGGAGCAACTCGCAAGACTGCCTGGGGGTGGTCTTTGGGACTGGCAGCCAGGCCATTCTGTTTCCAGATGTTTACCACGCAAAACAGATGGTGTTTCTCCCACCCCATCTGGCTTTGTGGTAAACTCCACTGTCTTCTTAGCGCATGTCAGCATGCCGCAGAACCTTCCAGCCTGTGGGCACCGCCCCTCTCAGCGGCACCCCAGGGCCGGTACAGGGGAGCCCAGGAGCAGACTCACGGCAGCCCTCCCCCTCCTTTGAATGATAGCTTCATGCACCAACACTGGGGGCAGCCGGTGGGACTTTGATTCAGAGGTAGCCACCTCTGCATCGGAAAGGCTAGGGGGCATTGTGTTAAATACAGTTTTTTCTTTTGTTAATTTTCACTTACTTGAAAGGCAGAGACATGGACAGAGTTAGACAGAGAGAGATTTTCCGTTTGCTGGTCCACTCCCCAAATGTCCTCAACAGATGGGCGAGGATGAAGCCAGGAGCCAGGAATTCAACCTGCCACGTGGGTGACAAGAACTCTACTTGAGCCATCATGTGCTGCCTCCCAGGATACACATTAGCAGAGAGCTGGAATTGGAAGTGGAGGCAGGACTCGAACCCAGGCACTCCCGTGTGGCAAGTGGTATCCCAGGCACTGTCTTAGCCACTGCACCAAATGCCTACCCCTCACTGTTGCCTTTACTTACAATGTTCACAGTCAGACTTTAAAGAAGAAGGTTGTAAGAGGCAAAGAGATTAGACTGAATCTAGTTTTCTTTATCTTTGTAGAAATGGAGGTTTCATTTGCAAAGTTTTATCACCAGAGGGTGACAGATCAGTGCAGTCACAGCTCCATTTAGAAAGGGATTGCAAAGCAATAAAAACCTCTTCCTATTTTATGGATCCACCTGTGTCTGCCAGATGAACTAGATACTGTGAGGTGTGGGGGCAGTGAGGATAAATGAAGAATAAGAACCCCAGATGACTCTTTTCAGCTACAGCCTGATGATTAGAAATTCATATTTTAATATATAACATGAAAAATGCATGAGAAAGAAGGGAAGTGTCATTTCATTTAATAAACACTGTTCAATATTACGAACATTTTAACTAAATGACATAGTTTTTCCCTTCTAAATTTCACCTCGGGGTTTATGAATTAAATGCCATCCTGACATGGTTTAAAATGACCAAAGATTTATCATCAGATTCTAATGTGGCTGGAATAATACTGACATAGAAATAATTGCTTTCCAACAGGTGGTCCTGTGGCTTCATGATTAGACCTACAAATTCAATGTCAGCCAGGAGTCCGTGGCTGCCCTCCTTTGCTCTCAATGAAGAATGACCTGCGTCTGAGTGTCACCTTCCCAGAGCTTAGATCTCCTGGCGAGCGGCCTCTGCCCCACATTATAGCATCCATGCAGTGCAGAGCTACCTCCCAGTGAGAATGGGGCTGCCGGGCAAAGGGTATGTTCAGAATTTTTCAAACTGTACAAAGAAACAGAATGGCAAAGTTTTGTGAATTAAAAAAAATCCCTCTCTTGGGCCGGCGTGCGGCTCACTAGGCTAATCCTCTGCCTTGCGGTGCCGGCACACCGGGTTCTAGTCCCGGTCGGGGCGCCGGATTCTGTCCCGGTTGCCCCTGTTCTAGGCCAGCTCTCTGCTGTGGCCTGGGAGTGCAGTGGAGGATGGCCCAAGTCCTTGGGCCCTGCACCCCATGGGAGATCAGGAGAAGCACCTGGCTCCTGCCATCGGATCAGCGCGGTGTGCCGGCTGCGGCGGCCATTGGAGGGTGAACCTTTCTTTCTGTCTCTCTCTCTCACTGTCCACTCTGCCTGTCAAAAAAAAAAAAAAAGGAAAGAAAAAAAAAAAGTTAAGCTGAAAGAATCTCTGAAGACTGGATGTGAGAGTGAAAGAGGAGTTGAGGAAGACTGTGAAATCTACCTATTAATGACTGCTTTTATCACACACATAAATATTTTTACTTGAGCAACTTGAAGGGAAGACTACCAGGGAACAGTTTTTTTGTTGTTGTTGTTGTTTGTTTGTTTTTTTGGGTGGGGGGTGAAGGAGAAGTAGATAGGAATGTATATCAGGAGTTTGGGGTATCGTAAGTTTCTGAAGAATAGCAGGCACCCAAGTGGGCACACAGGGCAGGCAGTTGGGCATCTACGTCTGCAGTTTGGGGAGAGGTCTGAGACAGAGGTGTTGTCAGAATAGATACTACTGAAGGCAACCAAGAGGGGACAAATATATCTATACATCGTTATTAGGGAATGATTAACAGAAAGGAAGCATGGTAAAGTAGACCGAGAATGGAGCTGTCAGAAAGGTGAGACAAAAGCAGGCACATGTGGTATCCTGGAAGCAAAGTCTTTCAATAAAAACCTGGGTCTAATGCCGGTGGTGAGTGAAGGAGAATGAGGCCCAAGAGCTGACTGTTAAATCTACCAGCACAGGGTCAATGGCGATGCTGGGTAGACCAGATGACATATGAATAAATCCAAACCGGGAAAAGCTGCAGATCCTGTGCTGGGAGTTGTCCTAGATATGTCGATCACAGCATGTCTCCTGCTCTTTGTCCCCTTCTGAAACCCAGTTCTGCCCAAGCAGACAGCCTATTCCTTGCACACGGTGCTCTTGTTCAGCACCATGGGATAGGCCTGGGTCCAGGAGGCAGCCCGATGCCAGTGCCTCTCAGATTACCTGTCTGAAATCCACAAAGGCTGACTTCAGCAGAACCTGGAGCTGAGAGACTGCACGAGGAGAGGTTATGAGGTAGGATGGCCGTGGTGCCCATGAGCGGACTCAAATCTCAGGCCGGCAGGAATCATGACTCTGGTCACCAGACCGCCTGGTAGCAGGAGAAGGGAGAAGCCCCACACAAGGCAGAGATGGAGAAAGGGGCTGAGTGTCACTCATGGTGGGGCACTAGTGTCAACACGCACAAAGTGCCGCCCCACTTCCAGAACAATCCACCAGCCCCAAACCCTCATGAGGACACCTGCCCTCGGATGTCCTGGGGATTCCTGTCCCTGTTTCTCCTGAGCATCTCTGATTGCACTAACTCAAGTGCAATGACCAGGGTCTAAGCACACAGCTGCCTCCTATCTGGCTAATGCAGAGTGACCTGGGTGCGCTACGGCCCAAGGGCCCAGCGTTACGGCTGAAGAACATAAGTAAGGTAGTGATGGGGACAAGGAGAGCCGGCATCCCAGAGGCGTCTTCAGGGCATGGCAGCAGAACACACACCTTTCCAGCGGGCTAACAGGAAAGGGGTCGGCTTCTCACCGACTATGCCCACCCCTGGCTTCACTGAGCGCGAGATGCAGCGATAAGGATGTGACGAATGCTCTCTCTTTATGGTGATGGAACTGAACAATTGTTGCTGCTTTAGAGAGACCAAAGATCACTGTAAGCTCTTCCCTTGGGCTCCTGAACTTTAGCGGTAGGGTGTACGCATTCATTAGATATTTCTTTTCTTTCTTTCTTTCTTTCTTTCTTTCTTTCTTTCTTTGGACAGGCAGAGTGGACAGTGAGAGAGAGAGACAGAGAGAAAGGTCTTCCTTCCATTGGTTCACTCCCCAAATGGCCGCTACGGTTGGCGCGCTGTGCCGATCCAAAGCCAGGAGCCAGGTGCTTCTCCTGGTCTCCCATGGGGTGCAGGGCCCAAGCACCTGGGCCATCCTCCCCTGCACTCCCGGGCCACAGCAGAGAGCTGGACTGGAAGAGGAGCAGCCGGGACTAGAACCCGGTGCCCATAAGGGATGGCGGCGCCACAGGTGGAGGATTAACCACGTGAGCCACGGTGCCAGCCCCATTAAGGAAAAATTTTAAATATTTCTACTATTGAAGTCCAGCCAATTTCCTTAAGATCAGCCGTAGCCTCTAGATTTTCATTCTGTGTTATGTAGATTGAGTTCAGACTTATTACAACGACAGTCAGCGAACACCCACTTTGTGCCAGATCACGCGTCGGTACTGGGATGCCACATGAATCAATCCTAAAGCTATTCTGGTCATGAAGAGCGGCGCAGTAACTCAGCCCAGCGCGGCACAATTAGAGGCGCTGGCAAGCTCTGCACCGAAGCCACCCACCCAGGAATTACTCCGGCTTACAGCCTATTAACTTTTACCACTTCCTTAATACAAAGAGAATTTTATTACCAATTTACCCAGCAAGTTAAATTAATATTTACAAACCTCACGGAGGCTGAGAAGCATAGAGAAATTTCTAGATGCGCCTTGTCCATGCTGGATATTCCTCCTGGGCATCTTGCGGCCTCTCAGTGGTGACCAAAACTACCTGGCACGCTTTTTAAGCCTAGAATCAACGGGAACGCCGACCCGCATGGACGGGAGTTAGAAGAACCAGTAAAAAGAGCCAGGAAGAAACTGAGTATTGCTTTTGCTTGTACTACTCTGCCCGCCCGGACGCCGCCACGCTGGGGAGAGCTGCCTTCGGCTCCCAGGCAGCCCCCTCACCCCCGAGGCCCCCATCTCGTCCCTGCCTCTAAGTCTCACGCAGCGGCTTAGGGAGACGTCTGGCTCCGCCCGGCGAGGCGCGGGCTGGGATTCTGGGTCTTCCTACCGCGTGCACTCAGACTGGACCCCTCACCGAGACTCAGTTTCCTCGTCGTGAGGACACACCCGCCGCCCTCGGAGGCCGGTGCAGCCCCGACGGCCCAGCGCCGCGCGGGACTCCTGCAGCAGGTGCCCGCGCCTTCCCTTCTCGGCTCCACGCCCCCTCTACGCCCCCTGCTGGTGGTGACGGGAAAGGACCGGGCGGCGCCCGAAGGAGGCCCAGGGAGCTGGGAGGTGCTGAGGAAGGAGCCATCGAGGGGGCAGGAGGAGGAAGAGGGAGTGGGGAAGACGAGGAAGAAGAAGGGGAGGGGGAGTTTAGGGGAGGAAGAAGAGGGGGAGGAAAAGGGAAATGAGGGGGTCCTTCAAAAACGTCGCGGAAAACTGGAATCCAAAGAGAAGCTTATTCGGGTGCAAAAAATGTTGAGGTAGCCTCACGTGCAGAGTGGAGCACGTGCAGAGTGGAGCGTCAGGAGGTCCGGAGGAGGTCGAAGGGATGGTTAAACCAGCCGCGCACCCTGGAAGGACGCAGGTTTGCGTGTGGAAACGTGCAGCTGCCTCCTGGCCACTGGGCATAAAACAAGAAAAACATCTGAAAAAGCATCCAAAGCCGCGATGATGAACTAAAGCCGACAGCGCACGTGCCCCATCCAGTCTCTGCCATCCGTAACAAAGATTTCCACTTAAAAGCTTACCCGCTGCATGGGTCACGGGTTTAACAGTTATAATTGATTAATTCTTTTTAAGGCAGGAAGGGAGAGGGAGAGACAGACAACTAGCTGTTCCATCCTCTGGTTCACTTCCCAGAAGCCTAAAACAGCCAGGGCTGGGCCAGGCTGAAGTTAGGAATCCAGAACTCAACCCAGGTACCCAAGCAGGGACCCAAGCACTTGAGTCATCACCTGCTGCCTCCCAGGGTGCACATTAGCAAGAAGCTGGGTCGGAAGCAGAGCTGGCACTCGGGCGCAGGCACTCTGATGCGGGATGTGGGTGTCTTAGCCGCTGAGTCAAACACCACCTCCACGTTCTGGGCTTTTCCAGGATCATTTGTTGAGAAACTAATTTGTCTTTTCCCTGTTGTTCTTCCCGTTGATTTGTTTTCTTTGCCTTTCACATTTTGGGCTCTCTCGGTGCATGTTGGGGATTGTGGCAGACATTTCTTCGGGGATAAAGGACAGCGTCTTTGGACTGGAAGAGGGGAGAAGTGTCAGTGACAAAGGGCATAGAGAAGTCCAAGGCTGGTGTGCGGATTCTGCAAGTAATAAGTACGAGCGCTGACCCACTGGCCCACGCCAGCCCTCCTGGGAGGAAGAAGAAGGAACAGAAAAGACTTGCTGTGAGGAGTGTCCTGGGGACTGGAACCACACGCAGGGGCCAACAGTCTTAGGGACCAGGCTGGCTGGGCGCAGCGTGGGTCTTGGCAGTCACCCTCAAGGCCGGAGGCTCAAGGCACCTGGACACCTGAGATAAACCCAGTGACTTTTGCATGACACCATAAATAGGGAGCAGACCCCCGGCATAACTGGCACTGAATTTCTCATCACACAAGTAAGTTATCTAGAAAAAATTCAGAATGCAGCATTTTTATATTCCATGAGCAAAACAGTCACCATTACTGCATATTACGCCTTTAAAAACTCATGAGAATCCTGTGGAGTAGGGATTGCTGTGCAGGGGTCATTTGATGACCTACAGCTGTTAAGTAGCAGGGCCGACTTTTAATTCGGTGCCTCCGCCTAAATCACTGTCTGCAAGGGTCTGCTGCCCCAGATCCTTCTCTGTGTAATAAGCATTTATGGAGTTTTCATTCTGGGATCTGGCCAGATCTTTAAGTTGAGAGAGATGGAATCCACCATACTGCACTCCTCAGCATGGTGCCCCCTTGT